TAGAGTGGTCAATGGTTGCGTTTGGTGGTGGGTTGATTGGATGGTAGAAAGCTGGTTGCGTTTGGTGTGTGTAAAAGCTGTCGGCCGTGGTTGGAGAAGAAGACTGTTTAAGAATACTCTGCAAGAATACGCTTTCTCAAAGACTCTTTTGTGCCAACTAAGGTCTGAGGTTGGGAGAAAAGCAATGACAAACCTAGACAGCATCTTAAAAAGCAGAGACATCACCTTGCCAACAAAGGTCCGTATAGTTAAAGCTATGGTTTTCCCAGTAGTGATGTATGGAAGTGAGAGCTGGACCATAAAGAAGGCTGATCGCCGAAGAATTGATGCTTTTGAATTATGGTGCTGGAGGAGACTCAAGAGTCCCATGGACTGCAAGAAGATCAAACCTCTCCATTCTGGAGGAAATCAGCCCTGAGTGCTCACTGGAAGGACAGATCGTGAAGCTGAGGCTCCAAGACTTTGGCCACCTCATGAGAAGAGAAGACTCCCTGGAAAAGACCCTGATGTTGGGAAAGATGGAGGGCACAAGGAGAAGGGGACAACAGAGGGCGAGATGGTTGGACAGTGTTCTCGAAGCTACCAGCATGAGTTTGACCAAACTGCGGGAGGCAGTGGAAGACAGGAGTGCCTGGCGTGCTCTTGTCCATGGGGTCACGAAGAGGTGGACACGACAAAACGACTATACAACAACAACAATATAGAATGGTCAATGGTTGCGTTTGTTGGTGGGTTGGCTGGATGGTAGGAAGCTGGTTGAGTTTGGTGTGTGTAAAAGCTGTTGGTCGTGTTGGAAAAGACTTTTTAAGAATAAAAGCAGCAATACTCTGCAAGAATACTCTTTCTCAAAGACTCTTTTGTGCCAACTAAGGTCTGAGGACTAGGCAAAGGAGTAAAAGGAGGTCAGAACCTTTTCTTTTTCAAACATTGACAGAGGGATCTTGTCCTCAGGTCCTGTTTGAAGGTTTCTCACTGGGGAATCTGGTTGGCCCTGTGAGAACAGGATGCTAGACTTGAGGGGATACCGGCCGGATTTATCAGCTGGGTTCTCCTTAGGTTCTGGGCGTGGTGAGGGATGCAACATCACTCCTTCCTTTTCCAAAGTTATTGATGACTTAGCTCTGTTCCCAAACAGGATTGCCAGTGCAGCTTAGTCACAAATCTGCCACGGGCCAAACAGCTGCAGATACCGCCTGGCAGATGTGAGGGCGGGAAGCCAAGAGGAGGTTCTGCTTGCAATCTCCTTGGGAAGTTGGATCCATCAAGGCCAACAGCCGCTTGCCCAGCCCACAGCTTCCCTCACACTGCGAGGGATGCTGGCGGCAGCTTCTAAAACAGACTGCAATCCCCATGAAGCTTTGGGAGAAGCCTTAGGGGTTTGGGATGGAGGAGTTCGGGATGGATTGCAGCTCCCATCATGCACAGGGTTTGGCCACGCTGGCTGGGCTGAGAGGAGCCCGACATCATCTCAAAGGCTGCAAGATGCCCATCTCGTGGCACATACATTTGGCCAGTCCTCTGAGCTGGGCCTGGGACAGATTTTGGCAATTTTCGCGAAGGAATCCAAGTGCCAAAAAGCAGCCCTAGCTTACATACAGGTAAGATCAGGTGGTAGGCTCCCTCTTCCTGGGACTACTGCGCAAGGAGGAATTGCATGGAATTCTTGCAGAAATATCTCACTGCATACAATAAACTAGCAGCAATCATGGAGAAGTTGGCAACTTTCACTGTTCTGCTTTTTTACATGCAGGTATCTATTGGGAAAGGGATGCGGGTGGCGCTTTGGGTTAAACCACAGAGCCTAGGACTTACTGAGCAGAAGGTTGGTGGTTCAAATCCCCGTGACGGGGTGAGCTCCTGTTGCTTGGTCCCTGCTCCAGCCAACCTAGCAGTTCAAAAACACGCCACAGTGCAAGTAGATCAATAGGTACCGCTCCAGGGGGAAGGTAAACGGAGTTTCCAAGCGCTGCTCTGGTTTGCCAGAAGCGGCTTAGTCATGCTGGCCACATGACCCGGAAGCTGTACACCGGCTCCCTCGGCCAATAAAGAGAGATGAGCACCGCAACCCCAGAGTCGGCCATGACTGGACTTAATGGTCAGGGGTCCCTTTACCTTTACTTATCTATTGGAAAAGAATTGCCTCACCTGGAGCAGCATGGTTTTTGGGAGGACTTTTGCGTACCTCCTCTTTTAAGTTCAAGAGGGCAGGATTTGCCCAGCCAGTTGAGGCTGGAATCAGTCTCAGAGTGTGCAAAATGGCCAAATTCGATGGGGATTTCTGTAAAGAGGGAAATTTCAAGAGCAGAAACCTCTCTTGGCTTAGCAGCGCTGCTCCCAGCTATTACTCAAATGTTGTGCACTCTGCACACGGTCAAGGGCACTCCTACCGCACTCCGGCACCCAGCCTCAAGCTCAATTTATGCGTGACGCAGCTTTTCATTCTTCCAGCTGTGCTCCCTGCAATTGCTTCAGGCACTAGGGAGTCACTCGCTAGCTATGTTAGGCCAGCCTCATTCTCTCTTCTGTCACACAAAAAACTGGCAAAGCTGCGCTTCAACCCCGCCCACAGCAGTGGCATTACTCACCCGCCCAGGCAAAACCCTCTCCCATCCTGTTTTCATAAAAGCCATGCAAAAGCTTCATGGCTTCCACTGTACAGGGCTATTCCTTTGGCCTCAGTTCTCCAGTCTGTGAAATGGGAATAAAAAGGAAGCCACCAAACCTGGTGGAAAGATAACTTCAGAGGTCACCTAGAAGCCTTACCAAAGGTTGCTTGTGGGGCTGCAAGAAGCGGCCAGATCATTATTTCAGCTTAAGCTCCTTGGAAAAAAAGAAGCGTATTTTTTATTATTACAGTGGTACCTCGGGTTACATAGGCTTCAGGTTACATACGCTTCAGGTTACAGACTCCACTAACCCAAAAATAGTGCTTCAGGTTAAGAACTTTGCTTCAGGATGAGAACAGAAATCGTGCTCTGGCGGCGCGGCGGCAGGGGGAGGCCCCATTAGCTAAAGTGGTGCTTCAGGTTAAGAACAGTTTCAGGTTAAGTATGGACCTCTAGAACGAATTAAGTACTTAACCCAAGGTACCACTGTATCTGCCTCTGTGTATACACACACATACACACACACACACAGAGAGAGAGAGAGAGAGAGAGAGAGAGAAGATATTTCAGTGTTCCTCAATCTAGACCAGGCTTCCCCAACCTTGCGCTGACTGGAGCTGATCTGGGGTTGTAACCCAAAAGAAGTAGAGGGCACCAGTTTGGGGAAAGCTGGGTTAGTCGAATCCCCAGTACGATGTTGCAGGGGTCGTGCACAAGCTTGCAGACTTTCGCATCCTTGCTCATTTCTGACACACTCTGCTTTTTTTTTGCAGGAAAAGTATCCTGCAAAACTGATAACGCATTTCCAGAGAAGGGCTGGAAGGAGACCAATAGATCCCCGGTCGCCCACACACAGTCAGAAGAGGAAGAAATCATCAGATATTCAGGCCCCCACAAGTTCAGGCTGTGCAAGTAGGAACTACTCCTCCAATAATCATCTCCCATCTCTGCAGTGAAGAGCACTCAGCCCCCAGTTGTGGAGAGAAGCTGTCGCCATCAGGCTTCCACTGGTTCAAGCAGATAGGAGCTGTGCTGTACTCCAAAACAGGGTCATAGAATCATAAAACTGTGGAGTTGGGACACCCCGAAGGTCATCTAGCCCAACCCCCTGCAATGCTGAGTTGGCCCTTGTGGCGCCCACCAAACACATCCCTGGGATAACTCAGTCGTAGATCACGAGACTCTTATTCTCAGGGTTGTGGGTCTAAACCCCAAGTTGGGCAACAAAATTCCTGCATTCATGGGGTTGGACTAGATGACCCTCAGGACCCCTTCCAGTTCTATGATTCTACTGCTGGGACTCCCATCAGCCCCAGCAAGCAAGCCCAATGGCCAGAGACTATGGGAAGTGGACTGGAGGGTATGATGTTGTAGATCAGGGGCGCCCAAACTTTTTAAAGAGGGCCAGATTCGATGAAGTGAACATGTGTGAGGGCCGACCAAAGCTTTTTTTAGGATTGAAGTTATTGAGGGGTTTTTTACAATTTTACCCCAGGACATATACTGCCACGGGGCCGGATTAGGCCCCCGAAACGGACTTTCAACATGCCTGGACTACCAACTCCACAACTTTATGATTCTATGTGATTCTATGTCAACTACAGCATCTGGAGGGGACTCGCTTGGGAAAGGTTGCTGCATAAGCTACAGACTGCAAGTTTCTAGTAACTTTCCCAGGAGATCTGAAAGTAGACCTGCCTCCCCCTGTGAGCCAGATAATAATGTTGGCCGACCATGCAGGGTCCATATAGTTAAAGCTATGGTTTTCCGAGTAGTGATGTATGGAAGTGAGAGCTGGACCATCAAGAAAGCTGAACGCCGAAGAATGGATGCTTTTGAATTCTGGTGCTGGAGGAGACTCTTGAGAGTCCCATGGACTGCAAGAAGATCAAACCTCTCCATTCTGAAGGAAATCAGCCCTGAGTGCTCACTGGAAGGACAGATTGTGAAGCTGAGGCTCCAATACTTTGGCCACCTCATGAGAAGAGAAGACTCCCTGGAAAAGACCCTGATGTTGGGAAAGATGGAGGGCACAAGGAGAAGGGGACGACAGAGGACGAGATGGTTGGACAGTGTTCTCGAAACTACAAACATGAGTCTGGCCAAACTGCGGGAGGCAGTGGAGGACAGGGGTGCTTGGCGTGCTCTGGTCCAGGGGGTCAGGAAGAGTCGGACACGACTAAACAACAACAACCATGCAGGGCTGTTAAGAATGACCAAGAATGTGTGAGGAGGATTCAGAATTTGAGGGGGACGTTGGCTCCTGGTTTTTCTTTTCCCCAGAGAGGGTGGTGATTTGTATGGTCTTCCAAACACCTCTTTCCCAGATAACAACTGGCCTAATTTATACCCCCAAATCCCCTTCCACCCAATAAAAGCCACACGACCCCAAAGGACCATTTGTCGCAATATGCATTTGTTTTAATAACAAAAACCTCAAACTATTGTAGAACAATATTCTCAGGGGGAAAACATTATCATTGTAATATACAATACAAGAATGATTCTCAGAAATCTGAGAAGTATTTTGGAGAGAGTTACAACTCGCTGCTTTTCTCTTTTCTTAAACAGAGAACAAGCACTGCCCCTCTTAAGCATTAAACCCCTTCCATAGAGGGTGCTGCTTTTGAGTTCAGTTTGAGTTCACCGGCGCTGGTTCCTCTTTCTCGCTAAGAGACACCCACGTGGCACCCTTTCGACACGGGGAAAGTGGGGCAGAGGCTGTTGGTTTCAACTCTCCTTCACCTCCGGTAGAAATGTCCTTTGCAGTCTCTCTGTCTAAGTCCACTGGAACCTAGTCCGTTGGGAGAGGAGAGAATTCCTTCCCCTGCCATTGGAGGAGCAACAGGAAAGCCATGTCTTCCAAGGACGATCCGCAGGCCCAGACTGGCCCTCAGCGGCACAGGATCCGGTCATCAGCATTCACACAAGCAGGCTGGAAGTAAACACAAGATAAGATTGATCAGCATGGAGATAAAAACCAATAGCGCTGCAATTCGTAAATCCACAGAAGGCTGTTTTGAGACCCTCAACAGCAACATCGGTTCTTAACTCCCCATTTTTTGCCTAGGGATGAAGCCAGCACTCTGCTGAAGACTGCTGTGAAACCCAGAAGCTTGTGAAGCTTGTGAAAAGTAAGGGTGACTGGGTTCAGTGCTACCAGATTCCATCAAGCCTAACCCAGAACACACATACACACAGACAAACAACATCAATGGCAGGAACAAAGTCCACCGGACTGCAAGCAAGAGCCACTGCCATTCCAGTTTCCCTAGGCAGCTACTGTCATCTTCCTGTAGCGAAGGGGAGACTGGGACTCCATCTCCCATCAGCCCTTGCAGCCACAGGCCAGGGATGATGGGAAATATCCATGGGGCTGCCCTGAACCCCCCCCCCCAAAAGGCACAGCATGTGGGAGAGGACCGAAGGAGGAGAATGGGCAAGGGCAAAAAGTATTTTCTGCAAAGGGAGAGAATCCATGCAGCCTTGATTTGAATACAGTGCTTTAATGCAATAGCCAAGGGCGGAATATTGACAGCAGCAAGGAGAAGCCACAATAAAGGCTGGGGGGGGGGGGCTATGCCCCATCTCCCCCAAAAGGGGACAGAAAAGGGGGTGGAAATCAGAAGAATTTTGAGGGGGGGGAGAGGTCACAAGAGGCATCAGGGAAGAGGAATACAGGGTCAGGATACAGAAACTATGGTTATGGTTTGGGGAAGATTAACACACCCACCCACGGCAAAGAAGGGGCAATATCTAAAATAGGTAAAAATGGGGTGGGGGCGACTAAGAACACCAGGCAGAGGGCATCGCCTCCATGTTGAAAAACGAAAGTGCACACACAGGGGTGGCGTGGGAATCCCCTCCCCAAGAATGGACGTCCAGAAAGTAAAAACATCAAAGGCAGCAGCGGCACCTAAGGGTGCCAGGTCGTTAAGAGTCCACAGTGCGGAAGGGCAACCCCAGGACAGGGTGCCAAGATTTTGGGGTGGGATGAAGGGCACCCCCCAGAAGAAGCAGAAGCAGCAGCCCCAAAAGCGCATGATAGAGGCACCCAAGCCACGGAGACCAGAGGAAGGTGGCGTCCGGATGGAAAAGGGAGTCAAATCATCGGGCTGCGGGTGCAAGCCTGGAAACGCCCCCCTAGCCGGAGGCCCCGTGGGCAGGCGAGGGACCCCTTGAAACCCTCCTCTTGCTGCCCACCGTGGTAACCCCCCCCCCAAGCAGCCCAGGGAGAGACGGCGGCGCGGTGGGTCAGCGGCCGGGGCTCACCTCGGGCACGGCTCCGGCCGGCTCGTCCGTGGCCCTCTGCGGGGTCGGCCCGGCGCCCAGCGGATGCTGCAGCTCCAGCTGGAGGTCCCAGATGTAATCGATAACGTGCTGGAGGATTTCCACCTTGGAGACCCGTCGGTGGCGGGGCAGGGTGGGCACCAGGCCGGCCAGGCGCGTGTAGCAGCCCTTCATGTCCATGAGCAGCGAGGCGGCGGCGGCTGCCTGCTCCGGGCACAGGGGCAAGCCCCGAGGGGGCGGCGGGCTGCCGGCCCGGGACAAGGAGACGCTCTGCTCCGACAGGCACCGCGACACCGGCTCGCCCGCGCCCCCGGAGCCCAGGCGCACGCCTTTCAGGGCGCAGCTGGGGCCGGGCGACACGGCGGGCGCTGCGGCGGTGGCCACCTTCATGGCTGCGCGAAGGGTCGAGGCGGCGGAGGAGGAAAAGCGAGGAAAAATGGGAAATCCAGGCGCGCGGCGAGACGGGCGAAGCGCTGCAAGTGCCGCGCCGTCGAGCAGGACCAGCTATTTATAGGGGCCGAGGAGGAGTGGGCGGGGCGCAGCGCCGTGCGGAGAAGCCAATCGCAGGAGCGGAGGGAGGGAAGGGGGCGTGGCTCCCGCAGCAACTTTTCTTCTATGGGACGGAATTGGAAAGGGAGTTTGGGGTGAATTTTTTTCTCTTTTTTCCAAAGCCAAACATCATGGGAAGCAAGGAGTTCCCGCCCCCTCTTCTTCTTTTTTTAAAGAGAGATTGGGGAGAGCTGCAGGTGTAGGGAGCTCGGGGGCATTTTATCCGGAAAAAGAGGAGGATGAAAGGAATGTGACAGGCACTTGAAAAATAAATAGTTTTTAACGACAGATTTGACACTTTCGCCTCCCCGCTGCCTCCTCCCCCTCCCCCGCCCTCCTCCTCCATACACGGAAACAAATGGGGTATTAAAGTCCCCCCCCATCACCGCCACCCATTAAACACACACTTAATATCATGTAAATATATATATTTCTAGATTTGCAAACTTTCTCCCAGAAGGCGTTCCTTCGCCATCCTTAATGCAGATGTTAAGATGTTTCTCAAGAGAGGAAAATTAGCCGGGTGTTTTTATTTTATTAAAGATCCTCCTCCCCCCCCGCCCCCCCGCCCGCCGACTGCTACAGGCACCATCCATAGTTATTTAAACTATATTTAATTTTATTTAAACTGGGCTCCAAAGCGTTAAGGCCGAAGAGCGATGGGAGAGCGGATTTGGAAGCTGTTTTAGAAAACAAGACATGCAATGGGGGGGGGCTTTTAAAGTTTCGATACCCTCCAGTTTCGGTGACTGCAAAAGTCCGGGAATAATTGATTGATTGATTAATAATCAACGCCCGGTGAAAACCGGGATCCTTCTAGAAAGGAGATGAAAGCGGTCACGTTTGAGACGAGTTCGATTTCTGAAGAGTTTCCGGGATGAATGTTTAATCCCAGTCTGGTCACGTGTTAGCTCGTTCACACGCTCCACAGCTGCAAATCGACTGGAGGTGGTGGGGGAACCAACTTTTTAAAAAATAAATAAAATGCGTGGGTTGTGGTGTGAATCATTGCTAAATACTACTGAATTCACTGAATGAGGCTGCAAAACCATCGTTCCAATAAATTCTCGCAGCAAGGACCCTGTCGATATTCCTATCCTGCCCCTAGGGCTCCGCGTTTGCTGAATGAATCCGACCCAACTTTTGCAGCCGACCCTTCTCGGAGTCGCAGGATGAGATCCTGAGCAGAGCGGCTGAGGATCGACCTTGCTCCCTCCCCCGCCCCCCCCCCGCCACCAGCCGCTTCGCAGGCAGGCTGGAATCGGGACTTTGCAAGCGCCCAACTTGTTTCCAAAACGCAAGCAAAAAACAACCACAATTCGTGTGTGTGTGTGTGTGTTTCTGCAATGCATACTCGCAAGCCCAGCGTTGCAAAGTCTCCCAGCCGCCGGCGCCCCTTCCTAATTTGCAGCACGATCCTGAATCGCCCTCTTCTTCGGGGGCTCCCACTTTCACTTTCGCCCCATTCATCTCTCCCAGCTCCTTCTCTCTCTCCTTCTTCCCTCCCTTCCCTCTCCTCCAGTCGGCCTGGACCCTTGCCATTTATAGCCGTTCCCAAAGCAGCCTCGGTAGCGCTCCGTCTCTCTCTCTCCTCCCTCCCCCCCAGCTCGAACCCTGCCCGCCCCCTCGGGCTGTTTCTGTGTCTTAACAAGCCGCTCAGACCGCGAGACGCCAAAGCCTGTGATGTCACCCATTCATAAAACCCTGAGCGCTGTCAGCCTGGCGCCTCGCGGCCGGTGCCCATGGAGACCGCAAGGGCGGAGGGGGGGGGAGGGAGAGAGGGAGGGAGCCTCCCCCGCGCCTCCCCCCCCAACTCCATTCACCTGCAAGCCAAGGGCCCTGAGAAACCCGGCCCGGAGCTTTTATCACCTCGGAGCCGCCGTGTCTCGACCCCCACCCGACAATGGGGGTCTCTTGCAGGTGCCAGGGAGTTTTTTTGGGGGGGCGTAATCCCCCTTCCGCTGTTATGCACACACACACACACACAAACACCTCGTCCCCCGGCGCGATCTAAAGCTGGGATTCCACAAGCAGGAGCCAGCTGTTCGGGGCCCCATAGAGCGGCGTCGGGGGAGGGGGCGCGCATTTGCTCGCCCCCTTTCCTGGTCTGCGCTTGGCGTTTGGTGCAGCGCCCCCCGCAGGCCGGTTGCAAACCAGCGGGAGAACTGCGCCGGGATGCCAAGCGCTTTTTCAGAGTTCCCGAAAGATGCTTCTTCTCAGCTCTCCACGCTGTTTCCCCACGGAGACGGGCCGCTGGGGGGGGGGATCTCATCACCGCCCCCCACCCAACATTAGATGAGGTTGCGTCCAAGCAAGTGTCTGCCTATGTTTCCCCCCCCATCTCTTTGCTTACTGTCAAAAAATAATAATTCTGGTCTTTGGGGATGACTGTCATGGTCCCCTGAAGAATCCTGGAAACTGTAGTTTGCTAAGACCTCACAGAGCTAGAATTCCCAGCACCGTCCATGAGGTGGGGTGAAGCAGCCGCCTCAGGTGGCGGAAACCCACGGGGTGGTGTCTCGCCTGCCACCTCCACCACTGGGGGAGCACAAGCAGCAATGGCAGTGGCACCCATTTCTGGTGAGATCCCGTGAGATCTCACTGAAATCTGGCGAGATCTCACTGAAATCTTGCGGTGTACGCAGATCTTGCCAGAAACCATTTTGTGGGCACCGTTGCATGTCTGGATCACTCTGACCACAGTTGGTTAGAACATGGCGCTGATAATGCCAAGGCTGCGGGTTCGATTCCCGTATAGGACCGCTGCATATTCCTGCATTTCAGGGGGTTGGACTAGATGACCCCTGGGGTCCCTTCCAACTCTACAGTTCTGTGATTCTATGACTGTTAAAGTTGCACTGGAGTGCTTTAAGCATAAGCTGTAGATCAGGGGTCGACAAACTTTTTCAGCAGGGGGCCAGTCCACTGTCCCTCAGACCTTATCGGGGGCCGGACTATATTTTGAAAGGAAAAAAAAATGAACGGATTTCTATGTCCCACAGATAACCCAGAGATGTATTTTAAATACAAGCACACATTCTACTCATGTTAAAAACACCAGGCAGGCCCCACAAACAACCCAGAGATGAATCTTAAATAAAAGGACTCAGTCTACTCATGTAAAAACACACTGATTCCCAGACCATCTGGGGCCGGATTTAGAAGGCGATTGGGCCAGATCCAGCCCCCAGGCCTTAGTTTGCCTACCCATGCTGTAGATGCAACCTCAGTCAGCTATAGTGGTGCAACCTGAATATGCTGACATGTGATGGAATCTCACCTGAAGACCCCACCCCAAGTCTCCTGCCTTTCAGCTTCAGCCCACCACCCCTCTTGATCTCCCAAGTCTTTAAATCTCCCAGCGCTTTAAACAAGTGGCCCAAATGTCTGAGCAATGGGGTGGGGGAGGGAGAGAAAGAGCCCCCCTCCCCTGTGCCTTCAGAAACCTTTTCAGCCAAGAAATCCAATTAAGCAGTTTGTTTAAGAGGAGTTTAGAAAGCAGGGTAAAAACAGCGAGGATTCCCAATCAAAAGGAAAATAAAACACACTAAGTAAAACTAAAATAGCACCTCTTGTTCTTAGGGTCTCCTCTAGTGCTGGAAGCCTCTGGAGTTGGCTGTGGGGTGGGGGACACAAAGGAATGCAGGGACCCTGGTATTGCTGGGGGGCAACCAATGGCAGGCCAGGCGCAGGGAACTAGGCTTCACACCGCTGAGAAGTTGGGAGGTAGTTTTGTCAACTGGTGTCAAAGTTAGTGGAAGGGGCAAGATTCAATCAAATACCAGCACATGGCAAATTTGTGCAACTGAAGCTTACTGGGAGCTTTTGCACAACAAACCCACTTCCCGCCCCCCCAAAAGGAGAAAATAACCAGTCTTATTTTGTGTGTGATAAGGAAAGTGATGGTGGTACAAATGTCCTGGGATGACATTTGCCCGGCCACAATGTCACCTCTCCGCAAACAATTCAAGATGCACGCTCAGTAAATAAACAAAGACACCGTCTAGCCTCCCTGCAAACTTTGTGCAAACAAATCTGGGAGAACGCTGGACAAACAGCTCATCTGCATGTGAGCCAGCTTCCCTGCTAGACAGCAATCTTTGTTGGTGCGTGAACGTCTCCTCTTTCTTTCTGCAATTCCTTTTACAGAAACATTTTCCTGCATCTTTAACTTCTTTACAGCAGCAGCAGCAACATTCCAGCTTTCTCTTAGTGAAATTCCCATTACAGGAATAAACACCATTTGGTTCTGTTTTTCAGAGTCTTTATTATTTACAAAACTTTACACTGGTCATTAATAAAGAAAAAAAAAACCCATAATCCTTTTCTCTTTTTAGCCATCCAGCCAGAGACCTAATGCGGATTCACCCACCTACTCATTTACACTGACCCAGATTTAGCTGATTGCATGACCTGAGAAGGACACCTGTTGCTGAGGAAATTTTCCGTTGCCTAGCAACTTGTTCAAGACCATTTTCAAGTTTCTTCTAGAACAAGCTTCCTCAGCCTCGGCCCTCCAGATGTTTTTGGCCTGCAACTCCCATTATCCCTAGCTAGCAGGACCAGTGGTCAGGGATGATGGGAATTGGACTACTGCAATACGCTCTATGTGGGGCTACCTTTGAAGGTGACCCGGAAACTACAACTAATCCAGAATGCGGCAGCTAGACTGGTGACTGGGAGCAGCCGCCGAGACCACATAACACCGGTCTTGAAAGACCTCCATTGGCTCCCAGTACGTTTCCGAGCACAATTCAAAGTGTTGGTGCTGACCTTCAAAGCCCTAAACGGCCTCAGTCCAGTATACCTGAAGGAGCGTCTCCACCCCCATCGTTCTGCCCGGACACTGAGGTCCAGCGCCGAGGGCCTTCTGGCAGTTCCATTGCTGCGAGAAGCCAAGTTACAGGGAACCAGGCAGAGGGCCTTCTCGGTAGTGGCACCCACCCTGTGGAACGCCCTCCCACCAGATGTCAAAGAGAACAGCAACTACCAGACTTTTAGAAGACATCTGAAGACAGCCCTGTTCAGGGAAGCTTTTAATGTTTGATGCGTTACTGTATTTTAATATTTTGTTGGACGCCACCCAGAGTGGCTATGGATAGCCCTCACCTTCATGAATTTGTCTAATCCTCTTTTAAAGCCATCCAGGTTGGGGGGGGCACCACTCCCTTCCTGTGGCAGTGAGTTCCACAGGTTAACTATGTGTTGCGTGAAGGACTTTCTTTTATCTGTCCTGAGTCTTCCAACATTCAGATTCATTGGATGTCCACGAGTTCCAGTGTTAAGAGAGAGGGAGGAAAACGTCTCTCTATTCAATTTCTCCATCCCATGCCATCCCCCCCCCACTTCTAAAATATCACCTTTTATTCCCCTTCAAAGATCAGACTACAGCCTTCTACTATTAGGCAGGCTGGCATATGTACTCTTTCTTCAGGAAACACAGAGTGAAGTCCATATATTGCTGCTCGTATTCTCAGTGTCATCCTCCTAACTGTTAGAATTCCTGCTCTGTGATTGCAGTCATGGGATTGTTGTCTATCACACGACGGTGTATGTTTTGACTCCACAGAGTGGATCGACCGGGAGAGAGAGAACATGCAGCATCGGCAAGTGTCTCTGCCAGGGTCCTACTCGAGCGTAGGACGAGCGCCTGACACTTAACAACCCTGCGAGGTCAGCCAAGCTGAGAGGTAGCAACCGGCCCAAGATTAACCAGCAATGTTAACAACAGCAGCAGCATGATTTGAACCCAGGTCTCCCCATTCCTACACTGGCACCCTAACCATGACGCCGCTGCTTCAGGCGATTGCTTGCTGCAGCGGAAAATGCCAGGGTCTTCTTATATGCCCTTTCAGCACCAAGTGGAAGTTGGCACAAGGCTTGGCTCACTTGCCTGAGTCATCTGGGCAGAGGGCTCTGGGGCGCGCAGTCAAGTCCGTGGGGCCTAGGATAGGACGCTTCAAAATCCTGAAGCCCACTTCAGAAACCAATTCTATGATGGGGATCTAGGGCGGAACCCCCTGCCACCCACCCTCAATGCTGCCTCTGTGGTTTGTTTTTTTTTGCCCCTGCCAACTTGCCCACTGAATGGCACGCCAGTGTGGCTCGGCTGCCCTGCTCTCCTCCTCCTCCTCTTCCCAGCTTCCCCTCTCTCTCGGCTGTGTGGCCTGGAAGCCAGATGAAACAGGGCCCAGCTGTGCGCGGCTATTGTTGGCGTCAGCAGGAAGCATTGATAGGCGAACAAAGCCGGGAGAGGTTAGCAAGGGGGAGCTCAGACAGAGTGGCTCCAGTGCGCCTCTCTCCCACAATCCCGCACTGATCTCCCATTGTTCTTGGCCTGCCCTCGGCTCTCGGAGGAGTGACCTGCGCGGTGCCCGCTGCCAAGACAACAGGATGTGAGGGCTCAAAGGTGCTGCTGTTCTCCTGCAGAGGTAGCCCAGGGAAGGGCGCAGAGGGGGACACCGCCCGGAGGTGCTTCCCCCCACGGACTGTCTGCATGCGAGACTCACATGCCCTCAGTGCCAAAGAGAGCCATGGATAGCAGTGCCAGCTCAACGAGGCAGCCTGGGGTGGGCAAGGGACGAGGTCCTCCTTTTTCTCTAAGAAGCAGCCGCAGTCCGTGACCCAGGTGCTCAGCTTCGTGTTGCACAGGAGCACCAAGACATAGGCAGCATGGTGTAAGGGTTAGAGCAGGGGTAGGCAACCTAAAGCCTGGGGGTCGGATCTGGCCCAATCGCTTCTAAATCCAGCCCGTGGATGGTCCCGGGAATCAGTGTGTTTTTACATGAGTAGAATGTGTGCTTTTATTTAAAATGCATCTCTGGGTTATTTGTGGGGCATAGGAATTAGTTCATATTTTTTTTCAAAATATAGTCCGGCCCCCCACATGGTCTGAGGGATGGTGGACCAGCCCACAGCTGAGAAAGGTTACTGACCCCTGGGTTAGAGTGTCAGCTAGGGGAGACCAGTGTTCGAAATTAGCCAGGCGCCAGGCGCATTTTGCAATTGGCTATCAACCACTTAGGGATGCAGGTGGCGCTGTGGGTTAAACCACAGAACCTAGGACTTGCCGATCAGAAGGTCGGCGGTTCGAATCCCCGCGACGTGGTGAGCTCCCATTGCTCGGTCCCTGCTCCTGCCAACCTAGCAGTTCGAAAGCGCGTCAAAGTGCAAGTAGATCAATAGGTACTGCTCCGGCGGGAAGGTAAACAGCATTTCCGTGCGCTGCTCTGGTTCGCCAGAAGCGGCTTTGTCCTGCTGGCCACATGACCCGGAAGCTGTATGCTGGCTCCCTCGGCCAATAAAGCAAGATGAGTGCCACAACTCCACAGTCGGCCACGACTGGACCTAATGGTCAGGGGTCCCTCTACCTTTACCTATACATTTAAATCGTTTTCATTCTTTTTCACATCTGAGATTACTTAAATCCCTTAACTTCCCCCACCCCACCCCTTTTTTCCAATATTCATCAGTTTTTCCTGCTGCATCTAATTACATTTTTCAAACTCATTTTATATCCATTTTTAACTTTTAGTCGTATTACATTTTAAGTGTTATAACAATCCTGCTAATGTTTTTAAATGTCTACAGTGATCTTTAAGGTACTCTATAATTGTTTCCCACTCTTTACTGAATTTCTTATCATCTTGGAGTCTGATCTTCATGGTCATTTTTGCCATTTGGCATAGTTTATCATCTTGGTTATCTTTGGTTGGGACATTTTCTTCCTTCCCATCGATGCCTGACACCTCCACCATCTGGGAATCTTT